CCTCTTCCCCCTCCTCCTCCTCCTCCTCCTCCTCCTCCTCCTCCTCCTCCTCCTCCTCCTCCTCCTCCTCGTTCCCTCTCTCCGCCCGGCGCCGGGGCAGCTCCCACCGGAGGCGCTGGGGACATGGAGCGGACCTGAGGCGGAGCCCGCACCGGCACCGGCGGCAGCACCGACACCGGGCCGGGACCGCCAGCACCGGCACCGGAATCAGCACCGGCAGCACCGGCACCGGGCCGGAACCGGCAGCACCGGGAGCGGGGCTCAGCGCAGCAGCGCAGCGGAGCCGTGAGTGCGACCGGGGGACACCGGCACAGCCCCGCGGGGCCGAGCAGCGTGCGGGGTCGGAGGAACACCCCCGGGGGTCGGGGAACACCCTCAGGGGTCCAGAAACCTCCTCGGGGGTCGAGGAACCTCCTCGGCGGTCCGGGAACCTCCTCGGGGGTCGGGGAACACCCCCGGGGGTCAGGGAACCTCCTCGGGGGTCGGGGAACCTCCTCGGGGGTCGGGGAACACCCCCGGGGGTCGGGGAACCTCCTCGAGGGTCGAGGAACACCCTCGGGGGTCGCGGTTCTGGGAACCGACCGGGACAACCTCCCCAGAGCCCCTCGGCTTGAAGAGGAGAAAGGAAAAGGGGGAAAGGGGCTCAGGGTCTGGCCTCGCTCGGTCCCGGCCCCTCCGCGAAGTTCGGGGCTGCAAACTCCGCTCTGAGCCCTCCCCTCGCAGCCCAGGGGAGCCCGGCAGGAGAAGAGTTAATCCCGGCACCCCCTCCCCACGTCCCACAGCCCCACCGGGAGCCGCGGCTCCGGGCTCTGCCCGTCCCCCTGTGCCGGGCACGGAGCGCGGTCCCCGCTGGGTGCTTTGCGGACAGAGGGACAGAGGGACAGGGGGACAGAGGGACAGGGGTACAGCTCCCCCCGGCGCGGGCTGGGGGTGTCCCCACGGTGTTCAGGGACAGACGGACGCGCTGCGGTGGCACGGACAGAGCCTGGGGGCTGCTGGGGGGACACCCCGATGGGTGCGGGTCCCTCTTGTCGCCACCTCCTTCATCCCTGTCCCTCGTCCCTGTCCCTCATCCCCGCCGCCCCACAAGTGACACTTTGGTGCACCCCCCCGGCCCTTCCAGGTGTCTCGGCGGGGACAGGGGGACACCTGGCCTGGGGACAGGGGGACACCTGACCTGGGGACAAGGGGACACCTGGCTGGGGACAGGATGGCTCCGGCCACCCCTGCAGGGCCAGCGCCGGGCAGCAAAGCTCGTCCGGTGCCACACGCGGCTGTCGGAGAGGCACAAACACCGCGACACTGTCGCGACAGAGCACGGCCAGACGGGGGGGTTGGGAGCGGGGACAGCGCTAAACTCTGTCGCTTTTTGGGGATCAAACCTTGTCCCCGAGTAGCGACATTCCCGGAGACCCCAGAGCGGAGCCCCCCAGGCAGCGGGGATGGTCCTGAAGGGGGCTGGGGGTGAAGATTTGGGGAGAATTTGGGGGGGTTTTTTCACCCCTCGAGAGCCGAAAAAGCTCAGCGAGTTAAACCCGGCAAAGTTTAGCGGCAAAGAGAAACTCGGGAGCCGCGTGCTCCTAAAGGAGAGGTTTTACGGCGTAAAAGGCGGATAAACAGAAATGTTTGCACCTTTCCACCTCTGATTAATGATTTCCAGGGGGTTGGTGCCAGGCAGGAATGATGCTGCCCAGGAAAAATCGCGGCCCGTGTTGTTGGAGTCTCGGTTTCATCTCGTGGAGCACCTCAGGCTCAGGAAAAACTCCCCAGGAAAAGCAGGAGTGATGGATTTGAGGAGTGAAAAAAGCAGAATTAGCTCGGTTAATGTGATTTTTTCCCCCGTAGATAACGTCCCTCCCTCCCTCTCCCGTGAGCCGATAACTCCTGTTTGTAATTCATGCGATTTCCTCTCCCTTCAATTTAATTTGGTGCAGGATCCATTCCGGTGACACTGATACAGTACTTTTTTTTTTTTTTCTTTTTTTCCTCTCTCTCTCTCTTTTTTTCCCCTCTTTTCTTTTTGAAACCCAGCGATTTTCGGAGGCTTTTGTGCTGTTAAAAATAGCAGCTGGCCTTTGACAACCGCGGGCGGGCTCAGGACAGTTTTTCTTGACACATTTTCACCGCCTTCATCTCCCTCCGTGCTGATTTGTGTCCCCTCAGCAGAACCCTCACCTCTCCTTTCCCAGCAGAGCAGAAATCCCAAATTTATTTATTTCATTCATTTTTTTTTAAATCCTCTTTTTTTCCTCTCTCCTTGCTTTTTTTTATTTTTGCTTTCACCCAAACCCTCCCTAAATCTGTCTTGAAGCGAAGTTTATCCCAAGCCTGGGAGATGTCCTGAGGGGAATTTCTGGACTTTTTGTCTCCCTGCCGAAATGTCCATTATTCCAGGAGGGGGGGAGATGGAGCAGCTCGTAAAGTTGTTATGTGCTGGAGGGGTTTAAATTTCATTTATATTTATATTTATATTTAATTTATGGGCTGCAGGGGAAGGGTTTGTGTCCCTGGGAAGGGGGACACAGCGCTCTGTCACTGTGATTATTTCTAATTTTGGGGCTTGCTGGCATCCCTGGGAAGGGGAACGCTTTAAAAGCGCTTTTTCAGTGGGATTGGTTTGGATTTTGGAGTTTTCTGGGGTCCCCGAAAAGAGGAGCGTGGTAAATCTGCTCTGTCAGTGGGATTATTTTTAATGTTGGGGTTTTCTGGTGTCCCCAGGAAGGGGAACAATTTATAGCTGGTGGAGGTGGAGGGAATCTTTTGGATAGAGGTGACAGGAATCTTTGGGATAGAGGTGACAGGAATATTTGGGATACAGGTGACAGGAATCTTTGGGATACAGGTGACAGGAATATTTGGGATACAGGTGGAGGGAATCTTTGGGATACAGGTGGAGGGAATCTTGGGGATACAGGTAGGCTGTGCGAAGGGAATCTGGGATACAGGTGAGATGTTTGGGATGCAGGTGATGGGAATCTTTGGGATGCACTGGGCTGTATGGAGGGAATCTCTGGGATGCCAGTGGGATGTGCGGAGGGAATCTCTGGGATGCAGGAGACAGGAATCTCTGGGATGCAGGTGACAGGAATCTCTGGGATGCAGGTGATGGGAATATCTGGGATGCAGGTGGGATGTGTGCAGGAAATCTCTGGGATACAAGTGGAGGGAATCTCTGGGATGCAGGTGTCAGGAATCTCCGGGATGCCCGTGGGATGTGTGCAGGGAATCTCTGGGATGCACGGGGCTCTGGAAGCCGCTGCTGTCCCAACCCTCGGTGTGCTCGGCTCTGGGATCCCAACCCACGGACAGCAAACCCAAACGAACTTTCAGGGCTGTTGGCACCACTTTTGGGGTCGCTCGGAGCTGAGCCCGTGGATTTGGGGGATCAGGGATGTCACCCGCGGCCCCTCGGAGCACCCGGCTTTATCCAGAGCCCCGCTCCAGCTTTATCCCATTGTAAACATTCCAGGCTGGTTCGTGCCAGCCGGGCTTTGTGCCCGCACGTGGGATTGCAGAAATCCCAAAAAAAAAAAAAAAAGCTCCCAAAAAAAGCTTTGACCACCCAGGGACCACCTCCAGCAGCCAGAGCGCCGCTGCCGCTGTCCCACCCCGCGAGTTCCCGGCCGTGCTGGGGAAACACCCGCTGCTCGTTTTCCTTCAAAATTCCATTTCTTTGGAGCAAAATAATCCCCTCACGGCAGGGCAGCCGCTGCCCCGAGCCCGCGGGGCCGCGGAGGAGCCGCTGCCCTCTTTTGTTCTCTGCTCCGAGGGAGCATCGCTGGGGGCCGGGGGTGAGGAATTCCCAGCGCACAGAATCCCGGCCTTGTTAAAGCTGGAAAAATCCTTTGGGATCGCCGAGCCCCCGAACCCGGCACTGCCCCGGCCAGCGCCTCCTGCTCCCCGGGAAAAGAGGGGGGGACCCGAGCTTCTGGGGGGGCTGAGAGCGGCTGGGGGGCTCCGAGAGGGGCAGGGGGTGGCTGGGGGGGCTCAGGGCTGAGGATGGAGTTTGGGGGGCTCAGGAGGAGCTGTGGGGCGTAGGGATGATTACGAAGGAGCTGTGGTTCTCAGGAGGAGCTGGGGGGCTCTGAACAAATTCTGTGAGACTCAGAACAAGCTACGGGGCTCAGGAGGAGCTGGGGGGCTCAGGGATGATTACAAAGGAGCTGTGGGGCTCAGAACAAGCTCTGGGGCTCAAGAGGAGCTGTGGGGCTCAGAACAAGTTTTGTGAAGCTCAAGAGGAGCTCGGATGCTCGGGGATGATTATGAAGGAGCTGTGGGGCTCAGAACAAATTCTGTGGGTCTCAGAACAAGCTCTGGGGCTCAGACCAAGCTGTGGGGCTCAGAACAAGCTGTGGGGCTCAGAACAAGCTCTGGGAGGCTCAGGAGGAGCTGTGGGGCTCAGGGATGATTATGGAGGAGCTGGTGGGGCTCAAACCAAGCTGTGGAGCTCAGACCAAGCTGTGGAGCTCAGACCAAGCTGTGGGGCTCAGGAGAAGCTCTGGGAGGCTCAGGAGGATCTGTGGGGCTCAGGAGAAGCTGTGGGGCTCAGAACAAGCTGTGGGGCTCAGGAGAAGCTCTGGGAGGCTCTGGAGGATCTGTGGGGCTCAGGAGAAGCTGTGGGGCTCAGAACAAGCTGTGGGGCTCAGAACAAGCTCTGGGAGGCTCAGGAGGAGCTGTGGGGCTCAGGAGAAGCTGTGGGGCTCAGAACAAGCTGTGGGGCTCAGGAAGAGCTATGGGGCTCAGCAGGAGCAGAGCAGACCCAGAGGCGCCGGAGCAGCCGCGGTTTCGGCGCTGCTGGAGCGGCCGAGCTCGGCGGAGCCCCGGGAGCCGCTCAGCCCCGGGCCGGGCGCTCCCAGCCCGGGGGTCCCGCAGCCCCTCGCCCACCCCCGAGCAGCCCCGGCCGGGTTCTCCAGGGCTCCGCCGCGTTGTTTTCCGCAGGATTTTATGGAGGTTTGGGTTTCGTGGCGCTGCGGGGAGGGAGCTCCGGGCCGCGGCGAAGTTTTGTGCGATGCATCAGCGGATCCCCACCCCGTTTTAACCCAGTCGGGAACACGCAGAAGGGAAATAAATTAGCGCAGCTTCTGACAGCTCTGCTGGAAAATAGCTCTGGGTTTTTACCCCATCCTGAGCCTTTCAGGGAGACTCTGCGGGGGTGGGGTCTGCGCGGCCCGGCCGTGCCCCGCGGAGCTCCTGCAGCTCGGGGAATTGCGGAGAATTCCAAATATCACAGCCCCATCTCTCCCGGTTTGGGTTCTTCGGCTGAAGGGACAGGAGCTTCCCTTGGG